ACAGTCATATCGTCGCCTCACCAGACTCACTGGCCTTTAGTCACTCTGCCCTCCCTGCCTCATGGAGACAGCTACTCACCTTTTCAGCCTACGGAGGCCTTGCTTGTGCCACTCATCGCTGTGGTTACGGCTTTGACTCTGACAGCGAGCGTAGGACTCGCAGTTGTCCTGAGGTGAGACACAGAAAGTGGGTGGAGGGGAGAAAGAGGGGACAAGAGGTTTGCAGGAAGGGTGGAGGTGAAAAAGGTAGCACAGAACAGTCAGAGCACGACAAACTGAATAATGCAAGACAAAGGGACTGGCCGTGCTCGAGTGCAGTTTGAGGACTGAATTATAATTTGTTAAGCGATCCCATGTGCAATATCAGTCTACGTAAATAAGGTCATTGTTTACATTTGAAGTGAATTACAGCGATAAGTTGTTTTCTCTGAAAGTGTCGTCACTTCTTCCAGGAAGTGATGACGGCACCTTAGCAGCAGGTGTTAACTTAGATTTCCACCTCAAGTTCTGCGTGGTAATGGGTAATTCTGTCTTCACAATCTAAAAACAAAAAAGCAATTAAAAAAGAAACTAAATTGCTTCGTGTGTAATCCTTTCTTGTAGAGTGATGATGAATCAGCAAAGAACAGCAACAGAACTGAGGAGAAGGAAGAAGGAGGAAAACGGGACCGAAAACATGATGTGATAACTGAACTCAGTACAGTAAAAACACGCTTTAATAACAGGAAGGTTTTTCTTCACTTCAGGTTTGGCGTTTTGTTTTGCAGTGAAATAAATTTCCCAGCAGAAAGTGCCATGTCATTTCTAGAAATCACGTGGAAGTGAGAATACATTTTGGCGACATGCAAATGAGGCAAAACATCACATGGGTGTCATGTTTGAAAGACGCGAAAAAGGAATCAAGCGAAGTGATGTCAGCCAAGAAACAAGTTTGCGGATTAACAAAACCAGACTATACAACACAGCTGAACTCAGAAATGCAGAAATTCCCCAGAAACCCCTCGACATTAAGCAACAGCTCACTGGAAGACAGTTATCTTTCTCTCGTTCCCCCTGAATGAAGCGATGTTGTTATCACGTGGGCGTTTATGAGAGGAATCAGGGATGAGATAAATCTCCCGGATTGCAGTGTTTTTCAGAGATTACTAACCACAGCCATCCAATTAATCCTGGATAATCCCCTTGTGAGGAAGGAGGGGGCTAAAGCCAGGAGCAGACGTTTTCATCAAAGATTCAACTAATGTTTAGTTACTCATCTGTTCATTCAGAAGTACACAATAAGGTCAAAAGCCCCCTTTTTTTTAGCATTTGCATTATTACTCATGTTTTAGTCATTCTGTTTTCTGCCACACTTGATGATATCAGCTGCTTTGGTTTCAAATATAGTCTGTTTACTCTTCACACAGGCTCGGTCATGATCTCAACGCCAGTGCTCGACGTCCGTCACGTATCATTTAGCTGCTTCTGGCTGCCTTCTTGTCTTGTTGTGCGCATACGAAGGGATGTTGGTGTGAAACCAAATTTCCTGTGTAAAGGCGCTAAGGAATCATCAACAACAGCAGCAAATTCACACCTGTCTTTTGCCATTGTGTCACATGAGATCATGACTGGTAACAAAGAAAAGTAAGTGAAAGGTTTAAAAATGAAAGCAATCAGTTGATATTGTATGAGTCACTGCCAATTGGAAGTCACCGGTGAATCGTTGCTCAGGTTTTCAGGGTAATTCCTGATGAGCGTATTTTAATCACTGAAAGCTGGCTTGAGTTATGAGCAAAGGCAAATGAAACAAAGGTCGCAACAGTGTGAGGGGGTGTGTGCGCGGAGGCTGAAAAAGAGAGAGGCTGTGGTCTGTCTGGATAGTGACAGGATGTATGTGTGGTGTTGTTTCCTGTCTGGCTCACTGACATGGGGGCGAAAGCTGAAAAAAAATCTTTAAGACACCCTCACGCAGAGATAGTCGCGTCACAATCTTACAACTGCGTGGGTTTATATGTGTGTGTTTTTAACCTAATATGCAGTCTGAGGCTACTGTAAATGCATGCTCAGCGACTTCACTGACAGCCATGATGAAGTGTGCAGTTTGAGTGTTTGTGTGCACATACTGCTGTGGACTGAAATTGCAGCCTCAGCAGGGAGAGGGAATGACAAAGTGTGAGCACTTCTGGAAGAGCAGCAGGCAGCCACAGGGGAGGGCGAAGAGGGAAGTAGGAACAAGAAGAAAGTGGAGTCAGAGGTTTGAGTGGGAGAGATCTGTGGGAAGGCAGACTGATTTTTAATGTGGGTTATGAGGAAACGAGGACAAAGACGTCAGATTACACCTCGTGATAAAAACCGTCCCACACTACACATAGAATATACTTTCACATCAGTGACCTATAGTTGTGGAATGACCTCAAGATTGTTGTCTTCACTGCCATAACAACTTTTATTGGAAAATAATTTAATAAAAGCATCAGAAAATACTCCTAAAACTTGGCTTTAGTGCTTGGGTGCTTATCAGTAGTTAAATATTCACAACTAAATATGTAAAATCCTATGATTAATCACTAGCTATTGTTTGTTATGAGGTTAATGTGTTTGAATGGTGTGATCAGATCTGACCAAAAGTGGCAAACACATTCACTTCTCATCATATTGACGTGTAGATATTAATAGATCTTGAGCCCACAATCACGCTCATGTACTTCAGACTGCTGAGATAATGACAAATACAGAACACAAAATCCAGAGTTCGTTTAGGTTCCCCCCCCCCCCCCCCAACACACAACATGAAGGAGGCTTTGAAGTCACCAACATGGTAACTTAACTGTAACCATTCACCATGAATACCATCAGTCTGCTGCTCAGTCCCCCAAACAAAGAGTTTGCACTGTGTGATATTTGAAATTTAACTTTAAAAGGAAAATAAATTGTTTTGTATTTCAAATTGAGAGGTGGCACTTTTTTTCTATAGTAGTTTGAAAGGTTTCTGCTAAGACTTCCATCTAATTTGTGACTTCTCTTGTTGATCACAATGCTTTTAAGTTACTGTAAGTCTGACAATATGTCATTTTTTTAAAGATACAATACTGTGCAAAAGTCATGAATTATCTCTCATCTCTTCATGATTTGTTAGAAAAATTGGGAATGGGTTATTGAAACGTGCAAACATAAATCAAAAAAAATGGACTGTTTTTTATGTAGTCTAGTCTCACTCATCGATTCACACACACACATTCATGCAGCATTTTATATATACCTAAGTGCTCTCTAACACTCACACACTCACACTCATACTTCATCATGTGGACTGGAGGAGTCTGAGATTAATCCCCCGACCTTCCAGTTGGTGGAGAACCCGCTCTAACCCCCAGGACACAAGGAGGACAATTTTGGCTTAAAAATGGTAAAATCCATATCCTCTTTCTTATAAGTTTCTGTTATTTATTTATGGAAAGCAAATAATAAATCTTCAAAAAATATATATTTTTCCAGCTCATGCATCAAAGATACACTTCATGACATACTGTAGTTGCTGTCTGCCATGCTTGACATGAACCTGTTACCACTACTCTGGAACCTGAAAAATATTGTTTAATAAATTGTTGACCCCAAAATAAGCTGTGCCAAAAATTGGTCCACCCCAAGGATTGGGTCCCTAGACACAAACGGAGTACCGGTAATATAGTGTACGCGCTTAAGTGCCAGAAGGATTGCCATGATTTATACATCAGGGAAACCTGATGTAAAATCTAAAACCAAAGTGCCTAATGGCAAGACTTAAAGTTGTTGTTTTTTTGCTGAGTTTCCTGTTATGTGTAGACATAATACGGGTCTACATATCCTTTGAGTCAGGTGCCTTTTGTGCTTGAATGATTCATAGGTGAATGTCAAGCCGTTCAGGTATAAGGGCATAAAAAAGAAGTGAAAAAAGCAGCCAATGTTCAAAGAAAAACTTTGAAAGGCCTTCAGAAAGTCTTCCGAACCAGCCCACTACACCACTGTAAAGCATTATTACATTATTACAAGAATTTGTTATTACATTGCTTCAAGAAATTCTAACTCCCTGGGAGCAAAGCAGTTTTATATAATGAGGGCAGACTTGAAACTTGTGGATAGTCCTGTATTTTCTGAGTAAAAGTTTCTCGTAACTGAAGTGCATCATGTCTTTTCCTTTGTGTCATTCCATCCACCGCCATTCACCTATTAAAAATTTTGCGCTGTGCTATTTTGTGATGACTATGGTTAGTGCTTATTCAGAGTTAATCCCACATGTTTCTCATTGCACACCACAGACGCAGCTAAAATAAATGCAGTTTGAGGAAACTACCTGACCTTTTAAAATGCAGTTGCGAATTTCTCATAAACATTTACTTCTTGTATCATACTTGAAATAAAACACACTGGACATCAGAAGTGGACAGGTCTGTGTTTAATAACCTACTTTTCCCAATGCCCCTTTGCAAAAAAAGAAATCCATGCACTGTAATCCATAACTACCACACGCCTGAATCATAATTAAATAATAAAATGTTTGTGCTTTTCGTGTCTGCAGTGCAGCAGAGATTTTAGTTATGCTTTTTTAAATACTCCACAGAGCAGCTTTAAATTTTCCAGCAGAATAAAAACATTGTCAGTGCTGACATTTTATGTTTGCAGCATGGACCTACAACAGAAAAACACGGTGGTGCGGGATTAATCTACGCCGAAAAAGAACACTCAGCCTTCAGTCTTTCCGCTGAAGGCAGGCGTTTCGACCTGGTAGGGAGGGTTTTAGCTCTCAGTATAACGTCATTCGACATAAAAACACGGGATAACCCCAAACTCCGACCACGTGCGCGGTAGGAAAATGAGGCTTGACGTCAGTGTCCATATGAGGAGTGCCGGCCAGACCAAATATGGTCGTTCCGCCTCTGACGTTGTTCCTACTGTGGAAAATAGGCGGGGTGGCGCCGACCCCGCCTACCGCGCAGCCGTTATCAATGAACAAGTGAAACTATGAACCTAGAGCCGATTGTAACCGGCCTGCAGGAGAGTTCAACAAGAACTCACAATATTAAGTCTTTTACTTTGAAAAATTTTTTGCATCTAAAATTGATACAACTTATATATTATAATTTTAGGGATTTTCTTTTTACCTGTCTAAACTGACTATTTTGTACAATTTATTATTTTTAACTTAACTTTCAACTACTTTTCAACAATGAATCCAATCAACGAACCTTTGGAAATAACTGGCAACGAGTTGGTTCACATACTTAGGACTCCCCGGGAACAGTACACCTCTGCAGGGTGCGTGGTGCTGGACTGCAGACCGTTTCTCGACTTTTCCTTGGCCCACATCTGCGAGTCCCGAAACGTGAACTGGAACGCCATGCTGCGTCGTAGATCCAAGAGTTCAGTGGTGGCTCTGGAGTGGCTCATTCCGGACAAGACGCTCAGGGCCCGGCTCCAGAGTGGGGAGTTCTCCCCAGTGGTGGTGGTGGATGAGAGAAGCAGCTCCATGGCCGAGTTGAAGGCGGAGAGCGTGTCCCAGATGCTGCTCACCGCCCTGCAAAACGAAGTTCACACGCAGATCTGCTTTCTGCAAGGTAAAAAGCATCAGACGGTTTAAATCCATTTAAAAGCATATATATTTATTTTTAAATAGTTTAATAAAATTGTTGTTGACGTGTTTTTTAATGAATTACTAAGTCGTTAACGATCATCCATGCAATCATGATCGATTTGATCGAAAAGTGTTTCGATACAACCAAAACGATAAAGGAACGTTTAAAAAAATTCTAAATAGAGTTCATGTTTATAACAGCATTGTTGTTATTTGGCACAGATCATACATTTAAAGAGGACGTGTTGAAAGCTTACTGCTAACCTCATACTAATGTGACCTCTGTTTAGGTGGATTTGGGGCATTTTCTGAGGCCTATCCGGAGCTTTGCTACACTTCAACCATCAATCACTGCGCAGTGGAGCCAGAGCCAAAAGTGACAGGCCGGAGGACACCCGCGTATGATCAGGTGAGCTAAAAGTTATTAATATTTAAAAACAGAATATTACAATTAAAACGTTTTTGATTGTTTGTTTTGTTTTTTGTGTGATGAAAAGCCACAGACAAGACGAGACGAAACAGTTTAGTGATTGTTTTTGTTGTCAAATTGCAGGATGGTCCCGTGGAGCTGCTACCTTTCTTGTTTTTGGGCAGTGCCATCCACTCATCCCGCAGAGAGACTCTGGCTGCAGCCGGCATCACAGCTGTGCTCAACGTGTCCTCCACCTGTCCCAACTTCTATGAAGGGGAGTTTCAGTACCTGCGACTCACTGTGGAGGACACACTGGCTGCAGACATCAGAGCCTGCTTTTCTGCCGCAATTGCATTCATTGGTGAGTATTTCCAAACTGTGTTAGTATGTAACCTCTGAAATGAGAGTCCAGTCCAGTGTTTGCTCACAGAAATGTCAGTCCAAACTCCAGCAAAGATAGAAGGCCCACTTAGAAAATTAAATCCATGTTAAATAAGCCTCCCCTTTGTATTTTTTAATAAAAACCTATAAAATTTTAAGCACCTTAAACTCCATAATCCATTTTCAGTCCTACACTTGGGGACCAACAATGTAATCATTAATGATCTGGTTACAAAACAACTGGATTATGGAGCTTAAGCTTGATGAAAGAGTTTATTAACACCTGATAGTTTTTATGAGCTTGTTTTGACCAGCTTTCCTTCTACAGTTGAGTTCAGGGGAAGGTGGAATTTTATTTAAAGGAACTTCCATTATAGCAGTGACTAGTGACTGAACGCTCATTTCCGGGGTGACAGCTCGTTTAGCCCAACTTTCTGTGCTGTCTGTTCGTAAAACATTACCGCCGATGTGAAATGAAGCACGGTATGCTGATTGCTCTTCCTGTTTTTGTCTCTTTCTCTTCCGTTTCCACATATAGACTCGGTGAAGCAGAGCGGTGGAAGGGTGCTGGTGCACTGTCAGGCAGGTATATCCCGCTCAGCCACCATCTGTCTGGCCTACCTCATGCACACTCAACGTGTCCGGCTGGACGAGGCGTTCGACTTCGTCAAGCAGCGGCGTCACGTCATCTCGCCAAACCTGGCTTTCATGGGACAGCTGCTGCAGTTTGAGACTGATGTTCTGTGTCAGGGATAAAGGCACAAATCCATCTGTGAAATGTAACTGACTCTCCTGCCTCTTGGCATATTGCGCTGGACTCGCTGCACTACCAGGACTCAAACCACATGCATAAATGTGTTGTTGGTACTGTTGAAAAGTTCACTTTGTACATTCAGAGGAAAGCTAAATGTGTTGCTGGCATCACATGGTTGCAGTCATATTTTGAAAATGCTATATTTTAGCAATGTAAACCACAGTGTCATGGAAACATTATGAAAAACTGTGATTCTGAGCCAGCTAGCTGGAACAGCTATGAGGTAATTTCCCTGACGTTATACTTGAGTGGAGTTGTGCCTGCCTGTTTGGTTTGTGTGTGTGTGTGTGTGTGTGTGTGTGTGTGTGTGTGTGTGTGTGTGTGTGTGTGTGTGTGTGTGTGTGTGTGTGTGTGTGCACGTGCAGGTGTGTTATTTTGTGTGACTTCTGTGCCTGATTGATTGGAAGGGCTGACTTATTTTCATACACTTTTAACCACTGTGACATGATATGTCTTTTGTAAGGAAACACTGTGTTATCTTCTTATAGCAATAGTTCATTATTCTCACGTTTAGAAAGTTAGAAATGCACCTACCACAGCTGGTATCATTCTATATCCTGAGACAGATTGGTACACTCAAACTGGAAAAAGTTGTTTTTGTTTTTTTTAATTGTGTAAATATATTTTGTTATTTATTTCAGTATTTCTTATGACAGTGTTACTGACATCAATAATTCTTACTGCACTTTATACCTTTGGCTTCCTGCTGTTTTTCCACTGAAATAAAACATGCTGGAACATATGAAAACCGTGTGAGCGGAAAAAAACTGTTTTACACACTACTGTCCACCACATCTCACTACTTGCACTACTTATACACACTAATCCAGTCATCGTTCACCGCACAGACAAAACAATGAGGCCATCGAGTCCCAGGTGCATTTCAGTGTTTTCAGAGCGCATTACAAATGCATAATTTCACACGCTGACCTTGCTGCTTTCGGCTGCTCTTGCTGAATCAGAAGGCATTAAAAAACATTGGGCTGCTGAGCGTTTTCATGGATTATCCTGTGGCAAGTGGGTTTTACAGTCTGAAGTCCCTTTTGACCTCAACAGCCAGCAATGGGAATTTCACATCCTCTCATTCAGCTAACATGAATCGCTTTAGGCTCATGACAGGAAGTCTGCTAAAAGAAATTACAGGTAAGAGGGAAAGTCATTAAAGTTATTTCTAATCAGGAAGTTTGGAAAGTCCAAAACACCTATTTGTGTTTATAGCATTTTAATCTGACTAAAACCAGTTTTAAACAGGTAACTTATATAAATTACTGGACTTTTTTCTTTATTTTCAAATTTCAGCTGTACTTTTATCAGTATTGTCAAGGCTCATGGTTGTTTCAACACAGTATTAAAAAACCAGTCAGCTCTATATTCAACTGGTTCAACTGAAATAACAAAGAACTATTACCAACACTTGCGAAAAGACCAGCTACCACTATCGCCACTGCTTCATTTCCTGATGCTAATTAAGTCACCCACACTTCTGTTTTGGCCATAGCTAAAGTAGTCCACATCCTCTCATGCGCAAATATCCATTACCCAACACGTAAGCAAGCGTAGCTGTTCTGCTTGACTTTTTTCTTCCATTAGCCACAGTTTTCCATGCAGAGGGCAAAGAAATGCCCAGTGGTTTTCAGGTTGGACTTGAAACTGAGCGATCACGTTAAATAAAGCCCCTAAAAAACTGCATTTAATCTGGTGTGAGTCCATTTAAATGTACTCATCAAAAGCACACAAATATGAGCTCAAACTAATTTTTTTATGTATGTTTTCATCATTTTTCTTAGTCTTCCATCAGATACATTTCTTAAAACTTTATTTCTTCTTTTTCCTGAGGGGGTTGGGGCTCAGATTTAATTTTAGAAAAAAAAAATAAACATCCTTATTTTCTAATCTATTCAATGTTGATCTTTATATTTCAGGCCAAAATAAACACTTTGCACTCTTCTGAAACCATCAGAGGGTGATCTGTTTTTCCATCGGCTTCTTTGTAAATCACTTTAGATGAATGAGTTCATCAAAAACAGGAAAAAAGAAACAAAGACAAACAAATATTTGATTTTGGAGCAGATCAAAACTAAACAATCATTAGTAAGAAGTAACTAAGTACAAATTCTCATCACCAATTTGGAGGTTTTATTATATCTGTTCATTTTATTCTATTTATTTAATAGTGTGCTTTTTGCTCGACTACTACTGCTGTGGTCACCAGTTCAGATTTTACTTTTAAGAGACCTGTGTTTAAACTTGAAATTACTGTTAATGATTAAACCAGTGCATCAAATGGTTTAAATAAACTGCAAAAAAAATGTAATCATAAAAACAAAAGAGATATGGGGAATCTAGAATAAAATGTGTTATTTGGTTTCTGTAACCAGATTTAGGTCTGTACAGCAAGATTAATACTTTCTATAAAGTAGTATTATACACATATGTGACATACAGCTCCAAAATGCTACAAACACGTTGATGAATCAGAACTGATAAACAAATAATATAATATACATATATAACATATAAGTCGCAAAACCTTTTCCCTTCAGTGCACAGTTTATTACAGTTTTTCTCAGTCGCTTTGGTGCGTTTCTCAGATCAGAATTGAAATTCTCATAACTATTAGTTCAACCTCCACAACACTCGGTCATTTGTGCACATCATAGTAGCAATTTCTCCTCTCTCTGAACAAACTGCAAATGATTTTGGACATGAATCAGTTGCTTCCATACATTTCCCTGCTGCTTTCTGACATTTCCATTTGCTTATGTCATGTCAGTCAAAAGTAATCATACCTATGGATGCTGAATAGTCGTTCCCAATAAAACTAATAGTCATACATCCATTGCTTGAGTCATCACACACAAAATTGTTGAACTAGTTATCACATGCCAAATATTGGCCATCTGTCAAGCAAATCCTATACCTTTCTGTATCATTGTTCCTGGAAATGTCTCCGAAATTGAACAATTGATCTCAGGTGAATTACAGCTGTCACTCATGAGGAGGCTCTACCAAATGGGTGATTTTATGTTTACATGTATTCTACAGTGAACAAGTGACTGTAGCATATTTTTCTTTTGCACAATTCTGTAGGATTACAAACACTTCTACACAATGGAAATGTGAAACGTACGTATTCAGTGTCTTAGTTACTCCCAAGACTCCCATAACATCTACAGTGACTTTACTGCACATTTCAGATGGCTGTACAGGTAGGCCATAGTGCTGTCGTCAGCATTTTCAGGTGTCACCAATTGTTTTTGCAATGGGAAACACTGAAATTATAAACTGTCATAGTGGAAACATGACAATGCCATTTGACTATCTTGTTCATAAAGATGGTGTCAAGACTTTTCATTTTGATGGCACTGACAGTTTCGTTGACATGGATACTTGCTTTTGAGGTATGGATAATCAATTCTGTGCATGTGACGTGCTTTTGCAGGCTATCCACTAGGTTTTGCAGTTTGCACTAATTGTTTTGGGAAATGCACTAACTGCTGTGCAAATGTTAATGGTGTTCTGAGGAACGCACCAAAGCGACTGAGAAAAACTGTAATAGCCTACTTCAAGTCATATATGATGATAATATTTGTGCATTAAGCAGACATTTACACAAGACTTTGATTTGTATTATTGGTATTTTTGCACTGTTACTAGTTAAGCAACTATGCTGGTACTTCTTTCACTGCCGCAGGTGATTTCAAAAGAAATGAAGACAACACAGATATTTCTCTGTGTTGTCTTCAAAACAGATCGTGCTGGATACGTTTGTAGTGAAACAGTGCTCTCTAGTGACAACTTTTGGAATGAAAAGAAATAAATAATGATTCAAAAGTATCCAGCAGATGATGCCAGCAGACTGTTTATTAACTAAGGCCACCAGAAAACCAAGTTGTATAGCTCTTTCGCACACACACACACACGCGCGCACTTCAAATGTGCATTTTAGACATTAAATCACCACTGGTGTCATTTAATTTGTCCTCAAATACCAGTACAGGAAACAGACTGTATCACCTCCCCTCTACTTGAATGCGGCTCTCATCAGTCAGTTACGACTCAGTCAGTCTGCCTCATTAATAAAACTGGCTCAAACTGTAGGTCCCATCTGTGTCCAGATAAAACTAGGCCAATCATATTACATGAGGCTCTGGAAACACGTAATTGATGTACATGTGTAGCGTACTGTATGTACAAAAGGAAGCATATAAGAGATTAGGGATTAGCAGAGAGGATCACACTTCCTTTGGACATGGCATTACACAGTGTTTGTTATCTACGGCTGAAGACTGTGTCACTCAAAACAAGAAATCCCATTTAGAGAAAACCACATGATGAGGATGAGCAACACGATACTGTAAGCTGGAGAATTACAACGCATTCATGTAACATGCGCGCACGCACACATGCACTGACCTGCATGCACACACACACACACACACACACACACACATGCACAGAGGTGTAGTTATTTGGGAAAATGACTGCATGGTCATTTGGGAGCACTCCCTGTAATTGTTTGCAGGTTGCACACACACACACACACACACACACACACACACAAACAAACATATTTGTACCTTCATGGCTAATGGATAGCACATTCCTCATCCAGTCATGGGTATGTTAGAGAGATCATAATATATTTTGCTATGTATGGATATTTTCTCCAAACCGTGTACTATAGAACATTGCAGGACTGGTTTACCTACTGAGGCCTCTGGAAACCTTCAAATAAACAGGAGAAAAAGGAGGGACCTCACTCTGTCGTCAAAGTGGGACAAAACTCACTGACCCTAATACAGAGCTTAACTTGAAAGACAAGGCGTACCTTTTCTGGCTAAATTTTCCTTGATCTCCACACACCATCTCTCTCAAGGTTTATAATTCGCACACTGGTACACATAATAGTATGAGTACCTGAGTGTACACACCCACACATAGAAAACAGAAAACCCTTTTAAGCCAGTAATTCCAAAAGGTCTAAATTGAAAGCTTCCAAAGGGCAGGTATTGTGCTATAATTGATTTGGACCAGAACCATAATGTCCACAGATTCCCACCAGACCACAGCCCTACATTATTCTGACCTGCAGTAATCTCATTTTCAAGACCCTGTTAAAAACATAAGGAATTAGAAAGAAATTTGAAGTTATTTTGAACACAATGAAACTGTTCAAAAGCTCCTGGAGTTTTTTGTTTTTTTTTTAAGAGTGAGAGTCCTTTCCAGACCAAGTACCAACTTTTCCAATGTGGATATCAAAGAAAAATTGCTTATCCACTGTGGGTGATCCATGGCAGCAGAGTTCCC